CTTCTGTGCCCCAAACTCAAATCACCCCAACCTGCCTTCCCCTTCCAATATTCCTCCTGGATCATCCCAATATGCAAGTGCTGGAAGCTGCTAGAGCAAAGGCAGAAGTTAGTACTGCACCTCGATATGCAGCCTTAACTCTGACCATCTCCTCAACTCATCATCGGCCCCAGAGACATATCTGAGATCAATATCACTGTGAGGGACTTATCAATTTCTCTCTACCCTGCTGATGCAGCCAGGAGTCCAGCAAAGGTCCCATCCCCACTTCCCAACAGCCAAAACCTGCTCTCTGTCATTCCCATCTTAAGTTCTTGTGCTGTGTTGTTGGGTGGTTGTTAAAGAGTTTCTGTGCCCTACCTCAGAGGTAGCTGCATTTCTATAGTGTATAAGTGGTCCCCATCTTTACTACCTTTGTAGCTCTTAGGGAGTCACCTGGATAAGACGGACTAGAGAAATAAAGGAGTTTTGTTACCTGGGCCTGCATGCTGCCCTGTCCATGTAGCGCGCATGGGGAGCCCGAAGGGACCTTCTTTCCTTGTGCAGGTGCCAGGCACAGCACTGAGAGGAGCAAAGGGGGCTGCTCCCTCCATGTGACTCTGGGGAACAATCCACCCCATAGCACTGGCAAGGAACAGGGACTCTGGCTCTGCCCCCCGGCCCATAGAACTGGGTGGGTGTAGTGGGGAAGCAGATGGGGACCAAAGGGATTGTTCAGTTGGGCATGTCCCCCTGTGTGCTGGGGAATGGGGGAGGGGCTGTGACCCTGGAGACTCAATCCATCCTGGAGCTCCTCCTGGGGACAGTGCAGCTTTGCTCCAGACCCTGCTCAAGGCTCTGAGTAAACAACCCCAGGGAACAACCTACCATGGGATCCGTAATTCACAGCACTGTTTTATGTTTTGTTTTTGTTTTTATATGTTCCCTTATTCAGAGGGGCACTTTGTCGACTGGCACCGAGAGCAGCTGATCCAGCGAGTCTCCAATGTGGAAGCTCTGTGCAGGAAAGTGCTGAGCACTGAGCAGTGCCAGAGCATTGTAACTGACCCCCTGAAGATGTGGAAGCTGTACAAGATAGTGCCGAGCTGGGACACATGGCAAAAGGACCGGCTCTACCAGGCACTGAAGGAGACAAACCTAGCTCTTGTTGAGGAATTGGAAGGTAAGTAACAGGTGCAAAATAAATTGAAGTTCCCCAAGCCCATCCCAGTGGGAGGGCTACCTCATAGAATCAGAGAAGATTAGGGTTGGAAAAGACCTCAGGAGGTCATCTAGTCCAACCCCCTGCTCAAAGCAGTACCAATCCCCAACTAAATCATCCCAGCCAGGACTTTTGTCAAGCCTGACCTTAAAAACCTCTAAGGATGGAGAGTCCACCACCTCCCTAGGTAACCCATTCCAGTGCTTCACCACACTCCTAGTGAAATAGTGTTTCCTAATATCCAACCTAGACCTCCCCCACGGCAACTTGAGACCACTGCTCCTTGTTCTGTTATCTGCTGTCACTGAGAACAGCCTAGCTCCATCCTCTTCAGAGCCCCCCTTCAGGTAGTTGAAGGCTGCTATCAAATCCCCCCCTCACTCTTCTCTTCTGCAGACTAAATAAGCCCTGTTCCCTCAGCCTCTCCTCGTAAGTCATTTCCCCAGCCCCCTAATCATTTTTGTTGCCATCCACTGGACTCTCTCCAATTTGTCCACATCCTTTCTGTAGTGGGGGGACCAAAACTGGACACCATACTCCAACTGTGGCCTCACCAGAGCCAAATAGAGGGGAATAATCACTTCCCTCGATCTGCTGGCAATGCTCCTACTAATGCAGCCCAATATGCCGTTAGCCTTCTTGGCAACAAGGGCACACTGCTGACTCATATCCAGCTTCTCATCCACTGTAATCCCCAGATCCTTTTCTTCAGAACTGGTGCTTAGCCACTTGGTCCCCAGCCTGTAGCGGTGCATGGGATTCTTCCGTCCTAAGTGCAGGACTCTGCATTTGTCCTTGTTGAACCTCATCGGATTTCTTTTCGCCCAATTCCCCAATTTGTCTAGGTCACTCTAGACTCTATCCCTACCCTCCAGCGTATCTACCTCTCCCCCTAGCTTAGTGTCATCTGCGAACTTGCTGAGGGTGCAATCCATCCCATCATCCAGATCATCAATAAGGATGTTGAACAAAACTGGCCCCAGGACCAATCCCTGGAGCACTCCTCCTGATACCAGCTGCCAACTAGACATTGAGCCGTTTATCACTACCTGTTGAGCCCGACAATCCAGCCAGCTTTCTATCCACCTTATAGTCCATTCATCCAATCCATACATCTTTAATTTGCTGGCAAGAAGACTGTGTAACAAAAGCTTTGCTAAAGTCAAGACACATCATGTCCACCACTTTCCCCATATCCACAGAACCAGTTATCTCATCATAGAAGTCAATCAGGTTGTTCAGGCAGGATTTGTCCTTGGTAAACCCATGCTGACTGTTCCCGATCACTTTCCTCTCCTCCAAGTGCTTCAAAACAGATTCCTTGAGGACCTGCTCCATGATTTTGCTGGCATCTCTCTAGGAGTTTATCCCTTGCCCATCACTGTGGTATCTGGGCTGAACAAGGTTTACAGATTCCCCCTTTGGTACCAGGGAAGGAGCTGTGAATGAGTTATTAATGGCCCAGTAGAATTAACCCTTGGTTAACTGCACTAGTGACCATGGATTTGCAGAATGACACAGCTTCTAAAACCTCCAGCCATTGCTGGACCCACCCTCATCCTAGCAGCCTCTCGCCCTCTAAACCCTCTTTCCTAAAACCACCCCACCTTGCCCTACCCCTTCCAATATTCCGCCTGGATCATCCCATTAGACAGGTGCTGGGAGCTGCTATTGTGTTAGCTGGACAAGGGCTGCGGGCCCAGGAAATGAAATGAGTGGCTCTCTTCACCAGGAAACAGTCATAGCCTGGGGTCTATGAGCTGAGAGCTTAGCTGCCATGGTGAATGCACTGTCAGAGTCACAGGAGGGAAAAGAGCTGGACAGCAAAAGTGGGGAAGGGCTTAGCTGTGTGTTTCTGGAGTTCACAGGAATGAAGGTGGGCAGGTCAGCCACAGACAAGTGCTGCTCTGAGCCCTCAGTTGCTATCCGCCCATCATGGCATCTGACTGGTCTCTGGTCAACCAGTTGTTGCTGTGTAACTGTTCTTCAGCTGCTGCACCTCACCCCACAGGTAGCCATATTTCAGTACAGGATGAGCAATCTCCATCTCTACAGTCCGTAAAGCATTTTGAGATTCCTCTTCATAAAAGGGATGAAAGAAATTAAGGTTCTTCTCTGAGGGGCTCTGTATTATTCTCGCTTGTGGGGTTTGGCTCCTCAGCACTGGTGTGGTGTGGTGTGGCTCCCTTGCATCCCCTCCAAACCCTGCTTCCAGTCATTTATAATGTCCTTCCCCCTAGTTCCTAGCACATGAGGGGCTCTCCGAGTAGAACAAACAGACGAATGAAAGGTCCTCTCCCCTCTCTTCCCCTTATGAGAAAGGGGAATCCGAGTGAAGACAAAGAAAGGCAAATGTCCTTCAGGCAGTCTTTCTGGATTCAGCCCTTTGGGCTTGGTCTAGCCGCAGCTCTATTGTCTTTAGTGGGGTCTACCTCCAGCCTCTCCTCTTGGGCTGTCCTGCTTCACAGTCGGTCTGTGCAGCTTCGAGAGAGGTGAGGCCTGCAATGGTCTCCCTCTCAGCTGACCTGTCTCTGTTCGCAGTCTCTGTGGGGGAGCAGCTCTCCTCCTGTTCATCACCTCTTCCTGTGGCAGGTTTTCCCTTTTTAAGCTCCCCCAGTCAGGCAGAACAAGCCTTACAGTGCACCTTGTTAGTGCCCAACAGGCCCAGATGGCTCTTTTGTCTCTTCTCCACTGGAGCGAGAGCACATCACTTCACAGCTGGGCAGTAGAACTGCCTTCAAAAACCCTGTCCATTGCGGGTCGGGGACAGGAGGGCTCCTTTGTGGTGCTTATGTCATGTCCTGCTTATAGTGCAGAGAGCCAGTTGGGTGAGACTCAAACCAACTGAGACTGAGGTGATGTGGTCTGATTGGGAGAAGCAACAGGAAGAGATGGTGGGGGTGATTCCTGCCCCTTTGACTGAAGGTGTGCACCCACCTTTGGCTGGTTGGGTTCACCATCTCGGAGTCTAGTTTGAATCCCGGCTGTTACTAGGAGGCCAGGGAGCAGCAGCAGCCAGGTTGGCTTTTTCCATCTAGACGGCTGGGAGGCTTCAGCTCCTCCTTCTGGACACAGACTTTGCCACTGTCATCCCTGCCTCTGTCCCCTCTGCATTAGAGCTACTCAGGGCCTGCATCTGGTGCAGAATCTGACAGCCCACTTGCTAAGCAGGGGCCATTTTGTGAGCAAACCTGCACCCTACAACCTGCACTGGCTGCCTGTGGGTCTCTACATTGATCTTGGTTTTGACCTATAAAGCCCTAAATGCCTTTGGACTACCCTCTACCCACCTCTCTCCCTGTGGCACACTGCTCCTGTTACGGTCAGCAAAGGAGACCTTTGCTACAAGAGAGAGGGTGGCTGGCAGGGCATTCCCTCTCAAGGCCCCATCCCTTTGGGACTCATTGCAGGTGTCTGGAGTAGCCCCAGTGTAATGGCATGGAGGTCAGGTGTGGATGTACAGGATGGGCTAGGGAGTTTTTATTGTAGTGTGTATAAATCAAACTAAATAAATGATAAAATCAGTAACTGACTGTTTTTTTTTTTTTTGGTGCTGTCCTTCTCCCCAGGGAAACATTTTGTTGACCGGCACCGAGAACAGCTGATCCAGCGCGTCTCCCATGTCAACACAGTCCTGAATTTTCTCCATGGGAAGGTGCTGAACAGGAAGCAATACCAGAACATCAGAACTAAAACAATGAACCCAGAGATCATGTGGAGGCTGGAGTACCAGGGCTTCCTCTGCCCGACATCGACAGCAGCTAACAGAGACCTCATTGGAAAGTCACAGAGTAAATACATGACACCAAGAAAAAAAGCTCCCTCTGTGCTATGAAGGGGCGGTACCCAGTGCTCATCCCAAAGAGGCCACTAGCTCATCCCTCACCCATCACTGTGGTATTGGGGCTGGGACATGTGTGTTCAAGCAGCCCCCTCAATACTGTACAATGTGCAGGTGTGTGGAGCGCGGGGAGATTATTTCAATATTTGGTGCTGTTGGGTCCATTCCAGGCAAAACTAGCTCCAGCTGCACAATCCAGAGCTGGGCATCCCTCACCCCGACAGGCCAGGGTTTTGTTATCCCATCCGCTGCCAGCCCCTCCCCGTCATGGCCTGGGGAGTGATGCAGACACAAGTGATGGGCTCTGATTTGCCCTGTCTCTCAGAGGAGCTGTTTGTACCAGTCACATCAGCTCTCAAACCCCTCTCCGCTCTGGGGTGAGGGGCTCTTACATCTGGGTTTTTCTCTGGGCCCAGATCTAACTCCAAAGGGGTGTGGGGTGCGGGGGGGGCGGTGTGGAGAAACTACACTAGAGAGCAGCAGTGATTGGTGAGCACAGTAAGTGATGAGGCTGCAGGTACCTCCCGCTCCTCTCACCCCGACCTCCTGCCCTCTCTGCTGGGTGAGCACTGTTTGATAGTGAAAAACTGGGACCCAGGGTTGGGGAGGGGGAGAAAATGGGGAGAGGGCTTCCCTCTGCCTCCCTGGGACCCTCTACAGCAGAGTGTGCAGTGGGAGTGTCGATAGTTGTCCCTCTCTGCCCCCTTCACTATTGTCTCCCAGACCCAGCTTCTCTCTGCCCCCTCCCCCCGACTCTCACAGCTCTCCTTTTATAAGGTCTGGCAGGTGAGGGGAGAGAAGGGACTTGGGGTCCCATGAGGGAGGGGTCTCCCCCACAGGGTGGTGGGAGGGGCAGCTCTTGGGGGTGAGTGAAGCTGGCAGGGTCCATGGCCATTGGGGGTGTCATGTCCCCTTTTAATACCCCTGCTCCAAGGGCTCTTAGGCTCCATGAGACTGATGCTGTCTGTCACTCTTTCTCTGCTTCTAGCCCTCCTTTCCTCCCTCCCTGAAAATCAAGGTCCATCTGCTAACACTGGGTTCAGAGTTGTGGGTAAGTTATTGCATGGCTCCATTAACCCTTTGTTAACCACACACAGGGACAAAGCAGGTTAGTCTGCAGAATAACTGTGTTCCTAAAACCTCCCATTGTCCTGTAACGGGTGGCCTGGTCCCCTCGCTGCTGCCTGGTCGTCCCTGAAAGCTTCCCATTGTGACCTACCCCTACTAGAACCCTTGCTGACTCATTCCAGTATGTTGGTGATAGCATCTGTGTGATCAGAAACTAATTTTGTCTCTGGAAATGCCATTACCCCAGACAGCCTTAACTCTGCTCTCTCACCATGTCCCTGAATCTCTCCCATGCTCCTTGCAAGGCAAGAGTGTGTCAATGTAAAGTGTCAGTATCCTATTAGGTAACTTCTCAATCTCTCTATCCCAGCGGTGTCAAATACCCAGTCTGCTTTGTATATTTGAAACCCCTGATGATTACCATGAATACCATTCCATGGCCATTGGTGATTCCCTGTTCTGTTCATTCCCTATGGGGCACCTGGCATTGGCCACTGTCAGAAGACAGAATACTGGGCTAGATGGACCTTTGGTCTGACCCAGTATGGCTTCAGCCCTAGCATTCCAACACATCTAGCATTTGATACTTTGGAATCACCCTCAAAAAGGATTATTCTAGTCCTACAGGGTTTGCAACCAGAAACCAAGAACAACAAAATCAGGTTGAATCCACCCCTGGGCAAGCAATTCTAAGAAAGCTGACAAACTATCAACTTCCCCTTGAGGGATTTTCATACTCGCCCTGCTCCAAACTCATTGGTAGTGGCAGCTGCTGTTCAGAGAACAAACTGAGGTAAATTCCATTCTACCCATTCTGATAGAAAGGGCCAAAAATTAGATACCCTGGGTAGGAAAGTTTTCTCCTCTGCTACATTGAGCATTAGAGTGTCCAACTACCAGGCAGTAATGTCTCGGTATCAATACCACCTAAGGGAGATGATTGGTCTATTTGCAAAGTCTCTGCCAGAAAAGCAGAGGAAACTGGCCAGAACATCCATTTTGGAAGGCCAGCCAGTGGCAAAACATGATTTAAAGGCTTGTTTGACTTCTGAGATGCACCTTCCAGTGTGGCAGTTTCAGCAATTACACTAAGATATAAGTCTTGGCTTCGCTCTTCTGGTCTCCCTCCCGAAAACAGAACCAGGGTGGAAGATCTTCAATTTGAGAGGCATGGATTATTCAGTGCTGGAACTGATGAACTTCTAGAAAAGATAAAGGACACTGTGTCTACAGCTGGATTGCCTGAGATCTCTAAGTCATTGAGGAGGAGGTTTGATGTGCCAATGTTCAGGTATCACAGGCAGCAATACCAATTGTCTTTGTCTTATTTAGTGAAAAAGAAACAATATCAGCAGAAACCCCTTGCTCATCTTCAGCAGAGAAGGGAAGAATCATAGAATATCAGGGTTGGAAGGGACCTCAGGAGGTCATCTAGTGCAACCCCCTGCTCAAAGCAGGACCAATCCCCAATTTTTGCCCCAGATCCCTAAATGGCCCCCTCAAGGATTGAACTCACAACCCTGGGTTTAGCAGGCCAAAGCTCAAACCACTGAGCTATCCCTCCCCCCCAAGACTTATAAGCCCCATCCTGAAGGGAAATTAGTTTCATCATCTACTTATGCACCAGGTCCTTGGTCTCAGATTTGACGAGATCCTTGAAAACCTCTGAGCAATTTCTACCCAATCACTCATTTGCCTGCCTCCCCCCCCCCACACACACACCTTCAGAAACCATCTTTCTCACTCCTTCAACACTTGGAGTGCCATCACTATGGACAGATGGATTCTGGAGATTGTCCAAAGGCTTTTCCATTCAGTTCAGTACCCCTCCCACCCCCAACCCTCCCCTTACAGTATGGGCGAGACAATAATGATGTTCAGACCTCCTAAAGATATCACAAGGAGTCTGTCTCTCCTAGCAACCACATATTTATTGACCCGTAAGAGTGATTGGATTTGCCACCCAGACCCACCATAATGGCATATGGCAGCATGGACCACAGGAGTCTGTTCTGCTCAAAAAAAAGTTCAAGACACTTTCTCAAACTCCAAGAAACAGCCAACCTGCAGGTGTTATGACCTTAAGTGGAAAAGGTTCTCTTAGCTCTGAGCATAAACCCAATTTCAGCTCCTGTTCAACCTGCATTGGAGTACCCACTTCATTTGAAAAAAGAAAAGGAGTACTTGTGGCACCTTAGAGACTAACCAATTTATTTAGTCTCTAAGGTGCCACAAGTACTCCTTTTCTTTTTGCGAATACAGACTAACACGGCTGCTACTCTGAAACACTTCATTTGAGATGCTTAAGGCTTTTCTTATCCATGAGAGTGCATCTTGCAGCTTTTCTTATCCATGAAAGTGGCATCATGTGTTAATTGACAATGAGATTGTATTTAGTCATGACTCTGTAAATAGATTCCTGAAGAGACTAATGAATGTCTACCCTCCAGTCAAGGAACCTACACCAACACGGGACCTCCTTCTCATACTTAGCTCATGAAACTGCCCTTTGAGACTTTGGGAGGTGAGTTAAGACAGTCTTCATTGTGGCCATTCTATCTGCTAGAAGGGAAGAGTTACAAGCTCTTATGGATGACCCACCATTTATAGTCTTCCACAAGATAAAGGGGTTCTTCCCCCTCACCCTAAACTCCTCCTCACAGTGGTAACAGAATTCTATCTCAAATATTCAATTCACTTGCCAGTACATTTCCTAGCCCTCACCCTCAGTCGGGGGAGGTGAAGTTACACGCATTACACACTCCTACGTGGCTCTGTCCCTCTTCCAAGAGACCACCAGAGCAAAGGCGGCTTCCATGGCCTACCTTAGACATGTCCCAACTTTAGAGATCTGCAGAACTGCCACCTGGAGCTCTGTTCACACCTTCATGGAACACCACTGCCCTGATCTGGCATCCAGATTGGAGCCAAATTGGTAAGGCCATATTACTATTACTGTTTAACTAGGACTCCGCATCCCACCATCCAGAGACAGGAGTGCTGCTTATCAAACTGTCCCATGAGAGGGATCGTGCTGAGGCCACTGAAAGAAGAAATTAACGTTATTCACCTGGAGCTGGAGTTCTCAGAGATGGACTCTGCACATTCCTACTCCCTGTCCACCTTCCCCACTTCCTTAGGGTCCTAGTTACAACTTTGGACTTGAGGAGGTGGTGGAAGGAACCAAGGTGACTGGAGCGCCAGGCCCCCTTTCCTAGCCAGACCCTCAGCACATACAGGCAGGGCAAGAATAGGGCAGGAGGGTGCTCCAAAGGGCACTGCTATCCACCCTCAGAACTGTATCGTTGGCGTATTCCATGAGTGGGAATGTGCAGAGTCAACTTCAAAGAACTCCAGTTCGTGCACGTGCATGGAAATCTTTCTATCGTCTTTTAGGTTTACAGGCTGAGAGCTCTTCCTGGGCAGGGGACTCTGCCTTGCCATAGGCCAGTACAGGGTGCTGCAGTGATGGAAAAATAATAGTACAATGAAATTTTCACCTACTGCCGTCCAGTTTCAAACCTCTGTTTTCAAGGAAAGATGTGGGCAAAGTGGGAGGTAGTGTTGCCTAGTGGATAGCACACTGGACTGGAACTCTTGGTTAATCTGTTTGGAATCACTCCAAGTTTAGATCTGTGTAATTGAGATCAGAATCCAGCCCTGACTTCACTGACTCAGTGAGGTTGTTCTGGATTTACACCAGGTTCACTGAGGTCAGAATTTGGCTCAGATTGTTTGGAATTTTGTCAGTTTCCATTTTTCTTTTCAGGATGCATCGATGAAGACAGTGACTCTGACCCCAATTCTGCTGCAAAGACAGAGGCAGCAGAAGGTGGGTGGTGCTGACTGTAGCTCCACCTCTCTCTCTCTCTCTCTCTCTGTCATGCACACTGGCCTATCGCAGCCACATGCATTTCTGCTCTCACAGTGCCAGTGGGTCCACTTTATTCCTTGCAGTTACCATTTGGTATAAGCAATTCGGCTTGTGCACAGCCTCCGAGTGCAGTAGGCTCAGGATTCTCTTTCACTTCCTGTCCCAAACTGCTATTTGTGCAGCATCACTGGGTGGCCGTTCGCCAGCTGCTGTGCCCCACCCCAGAAGTGGCTACATTTCAGCACCAAAGTGAGCAATTACTGTGCAACACTGCTGTGCAGTTGTTAACCAGCTGCCCCAACCCCAGAAGTAGCTGCATTTCTGTGCTGCCAAACTTCTGCCATACTGCACAGACCCATAGGTCTGATCTGGGTGACAGGGAGGTGGGAGGATATTGGGCTAGATGGGCCTGTTGGTCTGATCAGGGGCAGCAGGAACGGGTCAGGATATAAGGCTAATTGACCCCATAGGTCTGCTGTGCCCCACCCCAGAGGTGGCTACATGTTTATCCCTGGAAAGCAGTTTGGGATGGAAGGCGCCTGGGAAATAGACAATAATGACATTATTATTATTATTATTATTCACTCCCCAGAGATCATCTGGAAACAGACCCTCCTGCCCTCCACTGGGTCTGCGGCTGGTGCTACAGGTGAGTGAGGTTCAAATTGCCCAGAGTTGCAGGTGGTTTGATGGGCCTCGCTCATGGCTGAGCAGAAAGAAACAAAATGTCCCCTCCACCTGTTGTTCTGACCATCCCCTGATCCGACCCTGCCACCACTGCCCTCATCACCCGCATCAGGTTTAATCTCCGGTGCTTGCAGGATCACTCTGGGCTCTCCCCTCCCTATTCTGCCCCCACCCCACATCCTGCCCACTCTTCTCCCCTTTATGCCTTGATCCTGTCAGGGTTCCCTCCCCACTCTGAACTCTGGGGTACAGATATGGGGACCTGCATGAATGACCCCCTAAGCTTATTTCTACCAGCTTAGGTTAAAAACTTCCTCAAGGCACAAATTCCCTTCCTTGTCCTTGGACAGTATTGCTGCCACCACAAAGTGATTTAGACAAAAATGCAGGAAAAGGGTCACTTGGTGTCCCTGTTTCCCCAAAATATTCCCCCAAACCCCTTCACCCCTTTTTCTGGGGAGGCTTGAGAATAATATACCAATCAATTGGTTACAATGTGAGCAGAGACCAAACCCTTTGGTTTTTAGGACACTGAAAATCAATCAGGTTCTTAAAAGAAGAACTTTATTATAAAGAAAAAAAGTAAAAGAATCACACCTGCAAAATCAGGATGGAAGGTAACTTTACAGGGTAATAAAAAGATTTAAAACACAGAGGACTCCCCTCTGGACTCAGCTTCACAGTTACAAAAAACAGGAATAAAACTACCTCTTAGCATAGGGAAAATTCACAGGCTGAAACAAAAGATGATAACCTAACTCATTTCCTTGCCTCACTTACAATTTCTATAATTCTTAGATGGATTATTCCAGGTATATTTTCAGGAGATGTTGTCCCTGCTTGGCTTCTCTCTCCCTCCGGAGAGGGAACAAACAAAGAGAGCACAAACAAAACCTCCCCCAGCATATTTGAAAGTATCTTCTTTCCTTATTGTTCCTTTTAGTCAGGTGCCAACTGGGTTATTTGCGCTTCTTAACCCCTACAGGTAAAGATTCAGTACAGCTGCTCAGGAGGGATTTTATGCTACCCTTATCTATATGTTTATGACAGTCCCCCTCACTGAACCCATCTATCCTGTGCCGCCCCACCTTCTCCCTCAACACAGAGCCCTTCCCCCAGGCCTTGCGAGCCCAGTGGTCCCTGCACAGCAGCAGCATCAGAGCTGGGTTAATGCACAGAACAGATGCATCCGTGGGGGAGTTTGCAGATGGAAATGCCCAGATCTCATTGCTCTGCACGGGGGATGGGGGCTCATTATCCAATGCTGTGAGAAGGTGAGATGTGAAAGGGCCTTTCCCCCTCTCTGCTGCAGGAGAGACCAGCCGGAGTGAGGATTCCAGCAGGGACCCCTGGGGACAGGACAAATGTGACTTGTGTCCCAGAGAGGAGGTAAAGGATTGTGGGATCACTCAGATCCTTGTCTGTCGGTCCATCTATTGCCTCACCCTTCTCTCTATCTCTTCCCCTCCCTCTCAGCCATACCTCTGAGAATTACACCACTGCCCAGACCGGGGCATCTCTGTCCCCTGGGAAATGCCCCAAGGGAATGACTGACTGTGGGGCTGGAATCCAGCTGGTCAGAGTCCCCCCCTGCCAGCCACGCTGCTAGGGTCCCAGGCCATGGAAACAGCCCCCAGCTGAACACTTGGCCACAGCTGCCCAGATTCCCTCTGCAAAGAGCTCTGCAGTGGGAAATCCCCAGTGGGGCCAAGTTAATGCCAGTTCCTGTGTTTTAGGATCCTCCAGAAGAAATACACCCTGAGACTGTTCGGGGCCCAGATGGGAACCAGGAGATGTACAGGTAAGAGCTGGGGCTGGGAGTTCGGTGTCACCCTCTCTGCAGCCGCCTGTGTCTGGGAGCGCAGGCCAGCTCCTATCACACTGAGGGCGCAGCATCCCATGGGGTGGGCTCAATGTCCTGCGATGCCACGCAAACAGCCTGGGACACCGTTTTCGCCTTCCTCTGTAGCATGGGGCACGGGTCACTTGCTGGAGGATTCTCTGCTCCTTGAAGTCTTTAAACTACGATTTGAGGACTTCAATAGCACAGATATAGGTGTGAGGTTTTTTGCAGGAGTGGTGGGTGAAATTCTGTGGCCTGCGTTGTGCAGGAGGTCAGACTAGATGATCATAATGGTCCCTTCTGACCTAAATATCTATGAATCTATGAACCTTCTGTTTGTTAGCACCTCCATAAGTGTTATTTTTATAACCTCCCCCAAACCACCATCACAGTCCTGCACAGCAACGTGGTCTACAGTTTTCTCCAGTCCTCAGCTACTTTCCCCTGGGAGAGGAAGACGAAGAGATTTTGCCACCCTGAGCTCTGACTTCTTCCCAACTCTGCCAGCCCCCCCCACCCCGCTCTGCACTTCCTTCCAGTTCTTCTTAACTGTCCTCTCAGCTAATGGGATACTTAGCTATGATTTTGTAATTATAATTAGCAATATTAGAATTGGAAAAGTTGCAGAGAAGGGCAACAAAAATGATGAGGGGGATGGAACAGCTTCCACGTGAGGAGAGATCAAAAAGACTGGCACCTTTCAGCTTGGAAAAGAGACAGCTAAGGGGGGACACGACAGAGGTCTATAAAATTGTGACGGGTGTGAAGAAAGTGAGTAAGGACACGTTATTGACGCCTTCACATAACGCAAGAACTAGGGGTCACCAAATGAAATTAACAGGCAGCAGGTTTAAAACAAACAAAAGGAAGTACTTCTTCACACAATACACAGTCAGCCTGTGGAACTCCTTGCCAGAGGATGTTGTGAAGGCCACAACTATAACTGGGTTCAAAAAAGACCTAGATAAGTTCCTGAAGGATAGGTCCATTAATGTCTATTAGCCATGTTGTTCAGCGATGCAATCCTATGCTCTGGGTGTCCCTAGCCTCTGATTGCCAGAAGCTGGGAGTGGACAACAGGGGATGGATCACTTGATAATTGCCCTGTTCTGTTCATTCTCTTTGAAGCATCTGGCACTGAATACTGTCAGAAGACAGGACACTGGGCTAGATGGACCATTGGTCTGACCCAGTATGGCCATTCTTACATTCTTAGCTTATCAGCCTCCAGTCTGAGTAGGTAATGAAGTACTCCACTCCTCCATCAGGTCTTTCCTGTGGGAACTGATTAATGCTTAAGTGATTGGAGTGCTGGGCCAGCAACTAGCTTTCAGTCTTCCAGTGAGACTGACTCTCCTTAACTCCTAACAGGGATGGAGTTTGAGAAGGTCCAAGTGTTCTCATTATCACCCAGCTTTTGTTGTTGTATATAGAGTAATCCTGATATTGAAGCACAGGGCTGAGCTGGAGCTAGAGTTAAGGAGATAAATGTGAGGGCACCTGGGGTCAGTTGGAAAAGGTAGTGAGATGGTTCCAGCCAGTGCTGTTTAACCCTTTTCTCCCCATGCTCTGCAGGGTTCACCTCCCAAGGGCAGGCTCGTTCCGTTGCTCTGAAACTGAACTGGGGTTTGAGGTGATAGCAGCCGTGACCATCCAATATGGATACGACTCCTGGGATCGGCGTCTGAGCACATCTGAGAAGCAGCAATGGATGGTGTCCAGCCCTTTGTTCAACATCAGGGTAGAACCACCTAGGGCCGTGGCAGCCGTTCACCTCCCGCACTTCCTGTGCCTCGCAGGTACGGTAGTAAAATATTGCTACAAACGGCATTCTATAGCTCCTTTCAGCCACACAGGAGATTTCCATAAGCCAGGTTTTTAAAGGTTTTTAGATTAATAGATTCCAAGGCCAGAAGGGACCATTGTGATAATCTAGTCTGACTTCCTCCATAGCACAGGCCAGAAAAGTTCCCCAAACGTATTGCCTATCTTTTAGAAAAACATCCAATCTTGATTTTAAAATTGCCAGTAATGGATAATCCACCACAAAGCTTGGTAAATTGTTCCAATGGTTAATTACTGTCACTGTTAGACCTTTCTCTGCTGGACTGAAGAGCCCATTACTACATATTTGTTCCCTATTGGGGTTCTTATAAACTATGATCAAGTCAGTTCTTTGTTAAGCAAAATAGATTGAGCACCTTGAGTCTCACTATAAGGCATGTTTTCTAATTGTTTAATCATACTTGTGGCCCTTCTCTGAACTCACTCCGACTTATCAACACCCTTCTAAATGTAAGGTGCTACATTTAGGGAAGAAAAACCAAATGCACAAATACAAAATGGGGGATAACTGGCTTGGCAGCAGCACTGCTGAGAAAGATCTGGGAGTGGTGGGGGGTCACAATCTCAACATGAGTCAGCAATGTGATGCTGTTGCAAAAAAAGCAAATGCAATTTTAGGTTCCATTTACAGAAGTATAGTATGCAAATCACGGGAGGCGATAATACCGCTCCACTCAGCACGGATTAGGTCTCAGCTGGAGTACTGGGTCCAATTTTGGTCACCAATGTATAGAAAGAATGTAGGAGCAGAGCCATGACAAAGATTATTCCAGAGCCATGGGTTCAGTAGGAAATTGGGCAAAGGTCATTTGATCTTTTGGGACAGGAAGCAAGAAACACTGGTTTCAAAATGCTGATCTCACACTGGGGAGAGCAAATGAGCAGTGAGCTGTCTACAATGGACATTTCCTCCAGAGCAGGGAACAGAGTCCTGACTCTCAAGCCCTGATCCAGCCATTAGGCAGCTAGGGGAACAAGACAGGTAAAATCTCACGTTCTTTGTTGTCCTTCAACAGCAGCAGAGGTTGACATTTCTCAGCTTCAAGTGGCCCATTTTGTTGACTGGGGGATGATCCTGGAAAGTCCAACACGGGTGAGGCCGTTCCACGCCGTGCTGGAGAACCCCAGCTTCTCTCCAATTGGACTGCTTTGGAAACAGATCTATTCTAAGCTATTTCCTCCAATACACACCCTGGTGCTGCTTTATCGGTCCAGCAGGGCTGCAGATGTAACCCTCCACCTCTACTTGATACCCAGTGATCTCTCACTAGTACAGGTAAAGGAGAATCCAATAATAATATACTGTAGATATACATTGTCCAGATCCACAAGCTACACTTGGGCTGAGAAGAAGGAGTGAGTTGCAACATCCTCTAGCATGCACTGTAGTGAAATAACTGCACAAACCAGTGCAGTGATGTGTGCTTCTGAGGGCCGAGTGACTCCAAACTCACTCCCCAGAGTGTAATTCTACCTCGGAAATGTTAGAAAGTATTTCCGTTGAATCTGAGTGAGTTATGCCCAGTCCCATGTGACTGGGATGGGGCATGCTGCCTACCTGGGCCACACAGATAAGGAAGACAGCTTAGGCAGAGAGCTCTGGAGTTCTGGGCTGGGTTTATATATGGGAAGGAAGGCAGCCGGGTATGGCTAAACAGCCAGAGGGCTAGACAATTAAGCAGCTACACAGAGGAACGAGTGCATCACATGCAGCCCTCCCCTCCCCCAGGGTTACCTCCTGTGCATTGCTCTATGTGTACATAAAGGCTTTCTCACACGCCTCTTTGAAGCCCCGTGTGAGGACCGAAGAGACTGTCTGTCTCAGGCCTTTGGAATGGTTCAGGACTGTCTGGGCCTCTTTTTGCTTCTTGGAGAAAGAAGGCCTGAGATGCTCATTATGTGAAATAAGGCCTGCTGCTGTCCCCACCCCACATCCCTGCTGTTTATGGTACTGCCATCAGGGATATCCTCCAGTCTTAGAGGTTTTTAAGGCCCGTCTTGACAAAGCTCTGGCTAGAATGATTTAGTCGGGGTTGGTCCTGCTTTGGGCAGGGGGTTGGACTAGATGACCTCCTGAGGTCTCTTCCAACCCTAATCTATGATTCCATATATAGTCTGGTCTCACCTGGCTTTGTTGGAGGCCCTCTGGAAGGTACAAAGCTGGTTGCTGTCAGTTCTTAGTCCCTTAATTTAATATGGATCCAGCCATGAAATGAAGATGGGGAGCAGATTTGACTTTCCTTATTGGGAGCAAAATCACACTAAAAATGCAGGTTCCTCAAGGTTACTCCTCACTTGCAGCTTTTGTAATGCCACTGCCCCTGGGATCACAAAGACTCTTTTCCCCGTTGGCTGCGATGTAGTAGTTAAAAAGGAATCTGGACCCTTTCTCCTCTGGGCCCATCCATCTCTCTTTGGATCTCCAAGGAATAATGGTGCTTGTACTTCACAGGCAATTGAGGACAATGAAATGAAGTACCAGTCAATAAGGGTGCGCAAGCCTTCTAAAAGCAAGCCCCTACGCTTCGGCTCTTGTTCTTTTGTATCCAGTCCCTCAGAAATAGAAGTGACACCTAAGGTATGTAAAATTTAAACTCTCTGCTTCTATTGAGGATTAACAATATTAAGGTCTGCTGTGATAACTGGGTCTGCAAATTTACCATTATTGCGAGCTCAACTGTAAAAAGTGAGTGTAAGTTCATGAAGCGTCAAAATAACCCATAACAATCAGTACTGATGGGAAAAGGTACAGAAGGGAGACAGACTGAATTAGTCCAAACAAAAAGGCCCTCAGGATCTAATGCAAGGACTGTGTTAAGATCATGCCTGGTAAACAAGAAAATGTGGGACTAGAAATCAATGAACTAAACTTGGTGTATCAGATAGGCCTAATTGAAGGACAAAATTATGAGAGGATGGGCTGTTCCCCTCACTCCTTTTTGGGGTCCTTAAAGAAAGAGATTTGGGGAGAGAAATTTGGCTACAGGAGTGAGCTCCACCTTGATAGCTGCCACTCGCCCCGTCTCCTGGGACCCGGACCTTCTGCATCTCCATCCTGAAAGATGTCCAGACCAGACCAGACCAGGAAGAGGAAGCCAGATGACATCGCCACCTCCACCGGCTTCAGCTGAATCTCGAGTACTACCTGGGATGTGAGACTTTGTCTCTCTTCTCCCCTCCCCCATGTGTTCTTTCCCTTCCCTACTTTATTTCTTTTCTGTCCTAGCTCTCTCTTTTTTCCATCTGTCTAATGAAAGTCTGGCTTGACCAGCCAAGTCTGGAGATTTTGAAACACTGCTGTAAGCCTGTGACCAGAAAGATGCAGCTTATAGCTATTCCGTAGACAGCCGGACTCTTGTATGAGTTTGCCAGGTCTCGGACAGGCTGATCAGACAATGTGCTGGGCCTATGTTTCTCCAGCAATGAAGTAGCCAGTGAGAGTCAGCATCAGAGACAAAAGCATTTTCTTTCTTTGCTGTTCTTTTCTCTCCCCTTTTCTGTGTGCTTGTCTTGTCTTGTTTTGTCTTACTGGAAACAGGATCAGACTTTAACAACAACAGTAACTATGACAACTCCAGCCCCTCTCAGCTAACTTCACTTTTCCCCAAAGAGCACAGTTATTACCATCTTTGATACCATCTGAGACATCAAGGTGGTTTTTCCTTCTAAAAACTCTCTGTAGCGCACAGGAAAGGGAACAAGGGATGTTGTTACAATCAAATCCTTATTTACTACTTTACATTTCAAAGACTTCAACTGTTTTTCCTTCTGTTCTGTATCTTTAATCAGAGGTTATGGCACAGGATGTAGAGGATGACTCAGTAGGGGGTGCTCTCACCTCACAGTCAATGTTGACCCTACTGCCCTGATACAGTGCAAGGGGGCTCTGTGCTGCAGGGAGCCCTGGATGACAGGAGGCCAGTGGAGCTATTGACAGGGATGGAGAAGGCAGAGACAGGGAAGGGGTTGGAAGGGGAGGTGAGGAGCTGAGCTCAGTATGAACCGGCTGCAAGAGATACCAGAGGAGGCAGGGCTCTGGCAGAGTGGGTAGAGAGGCTGACCTGGGAATCGTCAGCACAGAGGTGGGAGCTGAATCTGCCCCTCTTATGCTTTCAGTGGGACAGTTGGAGTGAACCAAGAGGGGCTCAGTCAGTCTGAGGGCAGAGCGAGCCCAGGGGCAGGAAGTGAGTGAGAAAGGGATGAAAGTTATATTGATGGCTACTGTGTTCCTGGTAATGGGAGGTCAAACGCAGAAGGCCCCTCCTGCTCTGAGAACTCAGGGAGGATTATTAAGGATACATAAGGATTTGGGGAGGATTGTTGAGGATCCACATGCATCGCCCACTCCTGCTCTGCCAGCTCAGGTGGGCTCACCACAAGGGGGTGACTTCTCTTTGCTGCAGGAGTTGGAGTTCTCCAATATGGCAGTTCATCCCCTGGATCCAGACATGGAAATCTACACCAGAGACTTGGGGGGCAAATTGGAGCTCAGCCTGGTGGAGAAGAAAACACAGCAACAGATCTGGGAGACAACTGTGAGACCAGGTGGGTTCAGCCAGAGATCCTGGCAGAGGGCAGAGGATTGTGCAGGAAGCCCTCTCCCAGCATCTGCTTGTAGTTGCTAGGGCCAGCCGTGTGCACACAATAAGGCAGGACACATGTGCACAGCCACCTCCTACAGCCCATGGGAATGTGAACTGGGGCTGGGCTGGGTGAGGGAGAGCAGAGGAGCAGGTTTGGAAATGCCCATTGAGATCACGTCACTCTAGTCCCCAAACAGAGGCACCCAGCACTGTGCTGCAGTCACTCTGCCTACCATGGCCATGGAGAACCTCACAACAACCGAGGGGGAGAGAATGCTCCAATTCTTGCTCCCAAACTCAGCTCTTGCCTCTACAGCTGGAGCAGCTCCATCAGGGATCGGGTCTGTGACACTTGGCTGGGAAGTTGTGATTCCACCTAGAAGAGGGCAGGGAGCACAGACACACCAGCTAACTCATTGCTCCCTGGCTGGCCTCGCACCCAGGGGTAATGTCCATCCAGCCAGCCTCACTCCCAACCCAACATCAGACCCAGAGTGTATCCAGCCTATAGGTGGAGACTACACCCAACTAGGACAGTGCATTGATTGATGTGCCCTCATCTTTCATTGCTCAGGGTGGTATTATCAGAATCTCCTTCCTTAGAAGTTTTTTAAGGTCAGGCTTGACAAAGCCCTGGCTGGGATGATTTAACTGGGGATTGGTCCTGCTTTGAGCAGGGGGTTGGACTAGATGACCTCCTGAGGTCCCTTCCAACCCTGATATTCTATGATTCTATGATTAACTGCATTAGCTCCTGACCTTGCATTCACCAGCATGAAGACCCATATCTCTTTGCACAGGTGCCCTGCGCTCCTGAGAATTATCACTGAGCAGAACTGAATCTCTCAGCATTGTTTTGTGCCTATTGCACCCATAAGTGCATCATCCTTTCCTCTTGTCTCATCTCTCCCTGCTCAGCCCAGAGGAATCAAGGGGCTCAAGTTCTCTCAGCCATATGGCCACCCCAGGTCCTCCATAGTCCTAGCACACGCAAACATTGTTCAACCCTCTCAGCGATATTAAGGTACTCATCAAAAGGACATGACTGCTGTCTAAACCTGTCAATCCCCTGCTCTAACTATCAGCCCACGCTCCTTCACATGGCTAAAAGAAGAACCCAGGAGTCTGGTGCCTTCATTCCAAGACCATCTTTCCCTCCCTATTCACAAACTCAGCATGGTGGGTGCTGTAAAATGGCCTGATGCTGGTTGGTGCTGAGCTCCTGAACTCCCATTTGGAGTGGTGAGCACTTAACCCTCCTCAGGATCAGGCCATAAGAGTGAATTAATAAGCCCCCCTCTTAGCCTCACGGTGAAGAGATCCATGGAAATTACTGCTCAGGGCAGTAGCTACAGAGATACAGAGTTAGTACATGGTAATTAGCTGCACTGCCATGTGAGTGGCTTAGCCAGTCAGATACCAGATATCGAGTGGGATCTCTCATGAGCAGCATGAACCCAGTATCTGATTCCCTCTTTCCTTCTCTCTTCCAGGGGATGTGAAGCTTCCTGGATCCACCCCAACACGAGCAGGTCAGTACGAATTCATGGAGCTTGTGATCCCGGTGTCTAATCCCAGTTGTTCTCTCAGAGGCCCAGATCCTCCTGCCTGCAGCACAGGGGTTTGCGTGGAGAAGCTCCATTAGGTCCCATCAATTCCCTGTCCACTTAGGAGCCAAGGTAAGGATCCCAGGGCCCTGCCCAGTGGCGAAGAACCATCGGTTCTTCTCCAGATCATCTTTAAATCCCAGAGGATAAACTGTGGGGGGATCATCCTGCCTTGGACCAGTGTGAGGATAGGCTAGATGGGACCTGAGCAACCTTCTCCACCTTCGGTGCCAAGCTAGGATTGTAGGATTCTCCTCTACTGTGTATTTCTCTGGGGTTTGATCAGTTTAAATGTCAATAGAGCTTCCCTCGAGGACACCATTCCCCTGTCCCCTGGATCTCTCCGTTAGGACATGACTCTGGATACTAGAGAACTAGCTGGTCTAACACCACAAGAGAGTTAAAATATTCAAGAAATAGTGGTGAGTTTACTGCCCATCCTCTCTGTAGGATACGTAAAATATCTGTTTTTCAGATGAACACTGAGGGGTTTTTTACTGAAATGTTTGTTAGTCCCAAAAGGTTCTTTGAACTTTAGCATCAGTGACGATTCATTTACAAAAGTCATGCCAGGAAATGTATCACTTCTCCTATTTGAGATGTCAGTTATCCAATCAGTCAAGTGCTCCTTGAAAGAATAATTTAGCTGGCTGCAGCTACTAAAATGTCAAGTAGTTAACATTATTGACATTTAACCCTTTACGGTTCCAGTATTAACATACTATTGAGTTGAACTGGGGCATTTCACACCTCTCTGACCTATTTTTTAAGTTTCTCTGTAGACTTGGACAGATGCCATTGCATCTGTTTATGTGAGGGTTGCATTAAAAGATTTTCTTTACAACTATAAAGGCTAGCTGGGGAGTTGTTTTTTAGTTAAAATAATAATTGATGGGGCCACATAATACATTGTACATGGGGCCTTAGGAAGAGCTTGTCAACCACCATTGTGGAGGACTGATTACTCTACAGGGCAAGAGGAAGGTGGGAGCTGGTATGTCCCTGTCCATCCATCAGTGGCCAGCCTCCAGGAAATCAGTTGACTTCATGTCACCAGTTCTCATTGTCCCACTTAGCTCTCTGTCCTCTGAGCCTCTGATCCTAGGGAGAGGGGGTGAGGAAGAGGAGCTGGGAGAAGGTGGAGAAACAGAGGCTGAGGGATGAGGGATGCACTGGAAAGCATAAAAGTAGAGACATAGTGACAGACAAGGCTCTGTTTTCAGCAAACATCCGAGACAAGATGCCTGAGACCTTGAGAGATGCCTTGCAGGAGACTCTGGATGAGCTGGGGAGTGCAGATATCAAGAGATTCAAGTCCAAATTGAACCATATGAAGCTACCAGAGGGGTACAAGAGGATCCCCAATGGGATGCTGGAGGAGGCCAACTCCCTGACCGTGTGTGACCTGCTGGTACAGTACTACAAGATGGATGGGGCTGCTGAGGTAGCCATTCAAGCCCTAAAGGGAATCAACCAGAATGAGCTGGCAGGAAAGCTTGAGACGGATACCAGGTGAGTGAGGGTTGGGTGGAGCTTCCATTTACTCCCTCTTGGCTTCAATTTCCATCTCTTCGATCTGACTATTTCAGGACATCAGGCTGTGGCCTTTTCCTGGAAGGGTTTTTATCTTTCTCTCCCATGCTCAGCTCTCCAGGGTCTGAGGCCTTTGCAAGAACTAACAGACATTACAGTAAAATGATCAGTCTCTCTCCTCAATAGTTGGCATTTTCAGTAGAGCATTCTCTTTCCGAAAGCCCCCCTGTCTTAGACAGATCTGGGGTCCTCTTCCATTGTTACAAATAATTCACACACAAAGCCAAAAGCTTTACAATGTGTGTGCACTGAGCGGTTCCTTCCCCTCCCCATCCCCTGGTAAGACAGGAGTCACATGGGCCCACATCTCAAAAGTATTGGATGTCAAATTCCTGGTGAAATCAATGGGAATTAGGAGCCTAAATACTTTTGTGGATCTGGGCCATAGTGAGCAGCAAGATGTGCTGAGTGCACAGGACAGCTCCATCCAGTGGAGTCCTAAATCTCTGTTATGTTCTGCAGGAGAATTCCAGCTGGCACTGATTCCATATGTAGCCGTTTTTCTGCAGTGCAGTTGGGATCGCCCATCTGAAGATGAGCGCACTCCCGACAGAAATGAACTGATCACAGCTGGTCCAGCGAGGTCTCTCCGTTTGTCTGAAGAAATGTTAGCGAGATTCAGTGCGAGCCCTTCCATGCAATTACAACAGCACGTCCCTGAAGAAGCAGAAGTCGCATATCACCACAGCACAGCTCCCAGGGCTGACCCCGGAGCAGGAATCTGTTTCCCAGGCAGGAATTCCTCTGGTGCTGATCACAGTATTAGCTGAGTAAGTCACAGACATCAACTGAGGGGGCCCCCTGATGAACTAGGGAACTATTATTCCCATGTAACAGCATGCACTGGTTCTTTGGGGGGCTGGGGCTCAGCTGCAATGTGCTAACCTTAGCCCACCTTCCCAGGTGAACGGAGTGACGCCCAGGACCATATGATGGGAGCTTGTGACTAGAAAGCAGTCTGCGGAGAGCATAAGGGCAGCCTGAGCTCCCTCTGGGAGAGTCTGGGGTAGGGAGCCTGCTGCACTGATGGCACCTGATAACTCTCTGAAGCCTGCAGAAAGACCTGCAAGGAGCCAGAGCTTGTTGAGGCATTAGCCTCAGCTGGCAAGGCTACCAAGAACATTGAGCAGGAGACTGGGCTATAAAAAAGGGGAAACCATTTTAAACTGAAAGGACTAATTGATCCAGGGGAAGAGGGCTGGAAGGCTTGGACTTTTACTTTCTGATAATGAAGAACATTAGGGGAGCAGCATTGTGAAAACAGCCGCTATGGTGGCTTGTTTTAGGTAAGATTAGAAGGTAAACTGAGACAGCGGCAGGCCTGAAGCTAGACAGGGTAAGTCCCTGTCTGGAGTGGCTCATGACCGTGAACCAAATGCCTTAAACTGGTGGCATGTTCTAGAATTAGATTTTACCAAGCCAGTAACAAATGTGAACTCCTGGATCACCATAAGAGTCTTACTATGGAGTCCCAGACAGTCCCCTTAGACTCTCCAGGCAAACTTGACTTAGTGATAAATGATCATTTACACCAAAAAACAGACAATATTCTGGTTGCTTTCAGTCCCAACAGACCTGTCCTTTACTCCAGCTCAATTGGTACCCTAGATCTTACACCAAAAACAACCCCTGCAGCCAATACTGTAATAATAAAGCTGTAGATAGTTTAACTAGGAAAGAGAAGTAAGAGAACTAAGCACAGGTTAAAGAAAGCAAACATATACAAACCAATGAGTCACCATCTAAATCCTAAGAGTGACAGAGTTGTAGTGAGCGACTATTCCAAGTGTCTTCCAGGGCAGACCCATGAGGCAGCCACTGGGGATCTCTGGCTTCAGTTTGGTTTCTCTGGCCCTTTGAGAATTCAAACATCAAAGAGATGAAAAATCTTCATGCCACCTGTTTTCATTTCTATCTTATAGCAGATGGGAAGAGGCCTTCTGCACATACTTCTCCATGGGTGGATGGAGCAATTAGCAAAGCTTTTGTCTTATAATGGCCCACCTAAATTTTGATAGCCCTCCTGGATGGGTACGGGGGTAGGGGGGACAATTCCTGGGCCTGGGTTCACAAGTCCAGAGAAAACATTTTCCAAGTTATAAAGCAAAACTTACATATTGTCTTGTAGCATGGAATACAGACTTTACAAGTGAGATTAATGCCTCCAGCCTCCTCTATGCAAATAAGCCCCAGCCCCATCCCCTGGGGCTAACGAGGGCTCAGGTGGCCCTGTGGTGGGAGGGGCACTGGAAATGTCCCTGGGGTGACCTGACACAAGGGAGCCGGGGGCTGTGTGTGTGTCTCAGATTGAATGCCCCTTCCTGGCCACCCACTAGGGCAGCTGTGAGGGGGATCCAAGCCTCTGTACTCTCAATCCCCTGGGGTGCATTAAACTTTTGGGACCTGAATGGAGTCCTGCCGCTGCCCCAATCTCGGGCCCCCTAGGCCAGTGGCTCTCAACTTTTCCAGACTATTGCACCCCTTTCAAAAGTCTGATTTGTCTTGTGTCCCCCCAAGTTTATACCTCACTTAAACTTACAAAATGAGACATAAACATACGGAAGTATCACAGCACACCATTACTGAAAAATTGCTTTTACTTTTTCATTTTTCAAATAAATTGATTGGAACATAAATATTGTACTTACAATATGTGTACAATATTGTACACATATTGTACTTACAATGTGTATATTGTACAATATTGTACTTACAATGTGTGTCGTCTATAGAGCAGTGTAAACAAGACATTGTCCATATGAAATTTTAGTTTGTACTGACTGCGCTCGTGCTTTTTATGTAGCCTGTTGTAAAACTAAGCAAATATCTGGATGAGTTGATGTGCCCCCTGGAAGACCTCTGCATACCCTTTATGGTACGTGTACCCCTGGTTGAGAACCATTGCCCTACGCCCCGCCCCCAGGACAGAGACGTGCTACCTGTCACCCCCCTTCTGAGCATCAGAGCCACGGTGCAGCCGCCCAGCCCTGCTTCACACAGCGCTGATCCTTCAGCCTGCCCCCTACTCAAACACCCCCTGTCCCGGAATGGCACCCAGAGATGTGAAGCTTCTGGTCTGCACTTCACTCCCTCGGGCACACAGCCATTGTGAATCAGTCAGTGCGCATGTGTGCATAGACACGCACATGCATTTGTGCACACTCACACATACACTCTGTATTCAATCTATCAACTTTATAGGATTAAACAGAAAGCGCATAAGGCCCAAGAGAGCACAGACCACACAGAACAGTCAGCCATCACAGACACAATGTCTGGCGCTAGTTCACCCTTCACTTGGGAGCCCTTGGGGAGCATCTATATTCCCTCAGGCAGGCAGGGTCTTTTACCCCACTGCCTACCGCCCTGCAGCAGCCTGCTTCATCTGACTCCAGTACAAGATGGCTCTCATCCCCTGTGCCTCCCTTTATAGATTCTTGCTGGGGTCACCTACCCACCTGCTGCTTTTGGTCTCTTGGTAACTATTTAAGGTTGCCAGCTTTATAAATGCTGGAAACTGGACCCCCCCCCCGAGGCCCCACCCCATGTTTTCTCCCAATTCCCTACCCCTGCTCCGCCTCTTTCCCCAAGGCCCCGCCCTTGTCTGCCTTCCCCCCCCCCCCCCAAGGGCCACCCCCATCACTGGCTCCTCTTCCTCCTCCCCTGTCACTCACTGTATCGGCTCAAGCCTGCCTGCAGGTAGGAGGCAACCCCAGCTGAGCAGGGGCTGGTGTGAGTTAATGGCCCGGCACTTGGCCTCACCCGCAGTAACCGGACTTTTGGTTCAGGTGCCATTTACAGTTGCCAGGTCCTGAAACCCAGACACCTGTCAACCCTAAATGGCATCCGACACAGAAGCCAAAAATCAGACTGTCTGGGTAAAACCCAGACAGGTGGCAACCCTACCCTATCCCCTTCTCTTCCCCTGCCCTACCCCCTATCTCCTTCTCTCCGCTCCATCCCCTTTCCTCTTCCCATTGTCCCCACCCCATCCCCTATCCCTTTCTCTTCCCCTGCCCCATCCCCTCCTTCTTCCTCTCCACAACCCATCCCCTTTCCTCTCCACACTGTCCAGTGCCTCATTCCCACTCCCATCTCCTCTTCCCTGCCCCATCCCCCTTCCTTCCCCACTGCCTCTTCCTCCAACCCCATCCCACCCCCTTGCCCTTCTCCCCCCATGAGCACTCACCATTGTATGGAAACAGGACCCAGCACACACAAAAGAGGATGATAATGGGCACTAGGACCCAGGAGGCAGCGTTCTGGAGCTGCCACCCTCAGCTGTGGGGAGGGGTGGAGTGAGCCAGCACAGCATGGGAAGGACAGAGGCCCCTTCCCTCCCAACAGACTGATCAGAGTAAGCCCTGCTTGGCACTTGCAGAAATACACGGTTGCGGGGGGGGCAATGCTTCCCTGCAAATTACACCCATGGCTGGCGTGGGTTGATAAACTTGCACCTCCCCCGCACCCATGGACTGGTAACTGGACTTTTGGTGTCCGGTCAACAGTGCTGACTGGACACTGCTGGGTTCCCTTTTAGACCGGACTTTCCAGTCCAAAACCAGACATCTGGCAACTCTAACTAACTTTCCAGTACTTCCAACCCTCCTCCCTTCAGACACAGATGTTTAACTTTGGAAAGACCATCACTGGGTGCTGATCACTCACCATTGTCTCGGGCCTGGCAGAGATGTGACACAGCCCTGCTAACTCACCTGGGATCCCCAGGCACATAGGCTTTCCATGACGCAACAATGTCACAATACAATTTCATCAAATCAGCCACTATTCAGAAGTTTTACAGGCAGAGCCCCCAGTTCCTCACAGAGGGCAGGGGAGCTCAGCATGTCCTTGGGTTGCCAGTTAAAACAACACAGTGAAATTACCCCAGGGAGCCTGAGGGAGGGAGGGGAATCAAAGAAGGGTGTAGGGTCAGGGAAATTTAGGGATGGGGCAGTTCGGGGTGGGGGGTTATGGACAGCAGGGGTAGTTCAGTCCAGGGGGCACAAACGGGCTTCATTAACCAGCAAGAACTCACCCATCTCCCCAGTGACTTCCCAACCCCAGACCCCTGAGGGTGATGGACATTTTCCCTTCTCCCCTGAGATGGGCCTGAGGCCTTTCCCTGGCTCATCTGGGCTCCTTGGGGCTCCAGCAGGGCCCAGCTCTAGGCCACAGCTCAGGCTTTTCCAGGCCCTTAGCCCTGGCAGCAGCTTCTCTCCCTGCACCCCATCCCATCAGCCCAGCTGGGCCCTTCTCCCTGGGTAGGGGATTGTCATAAAAATAGAGAGAAGGGTAGCATAAAATCCCTCCTTGGCAGCTGTACTGAATTGCCTTACCTGTAAGGGTTTAAGTAGTTCAAATAACCTAGCTGGCACCTGACCAGAAGGACCAATGAGGAAAGAAGATACTTTCAAATCTGGGGGGAGAAGGTTTTGTTTGTGCTCTCTCTTTGTTGTTCCCTCTCCAGATGGAGAGAGAAGCCAAGCAGGGACAACATCTCCTGAAAATATACCTGGAATATTCCATCTAAAATTATAGAAATTGTAAATAGGGTAAGGAAATGTGTTAGGTTATCTTTTGTTTTAGCTTGTGAATTTTCCTGTGCTACAGAGGTAGTTTTATTCCTGTTTTTGTAACTGTGAAGCTGAGCCAGAGGGGAATCCTCTGTGTTTTAAATCTTTTTATTTATCCTGTAAAGTTACCTTCCATCCTGATTTTGCAGGTGTGATTCTTTTATTTTTTTCCTTATAAATAAAGTTTTTCTTTTAAGAACCTGATTCGTTTCAGGGTCCTGAAGACAAAGGGTCTGGTCTGTGCCTCATTGCTAAGGCAATTGGTTGGTATATTATTCTCAAGCCTTCCCGGGAAAGGGGGTGAAAGGGCTTCGGGGAATATTTTGGGGGGATAGGGATTCCAAGTGACCCTTCCCTGAATTGTTGTGTAAATCACTTGGTGGTGGTAGCAATACCATCCAAGGACAAGGAAAGGAATTTGTGCCTTGGGGAAGTTTCAACCTAAGCTGGTAGAATATAAGCGTAGGGGTCTTTCAAGCGGGTCCCCACATCTGTACCCCAGAGTTCAGAGTGTGTGGGGGGGGGAGACCCCTGACATGGTGGCAGAGTGGTGGGATCATTTTGAACCAGAAGCACAGACCTCAGGATTTTAAAATGACACTTTTCTCCTTTTGGCTGCTTGAAAACCAGGGAGGTTTTTTTTTTTTAAAGGGCACTTTTTTTTTTAAACTGAGAGCAGCTGGAGTTTTTTGTTTTTTGTTTTTTGTCTGAGGGCAGAGTAGTTAAGCTACAGCAAGGGAATTCACAAGCTGTTTTTTCCCCCTAGCTCTTGGGATAGGTTACAGTAAGGGCAGGAAAGTTAGCAAAAATGACTGACAGTGAGGTCCAGAAAAAACTGGAATTAGCCAGATTGGAGGCTGAAGAAAAACAGAACAAACACGAAAGACAAATGGAATTAAAGCACTTGGAGTTGGAAGTGAGGGAGAATAAAGAGGTGAAGCTCTTGGAGACGAAAATAGAGCCGGAAAGGGCTAAGCTGGGTCCAGCAGGTAACCCTAACAGTCCTTCACCAGGTACTGCTCCCCATTCCAAGAAATTCCCCACATACAAGGTAGGTGATAATACAGAGGCCTTCTTAGAAAATTTCAAAAGAGCCTCCCTTGGGTACAACATCCCTACAGACCAGTATATGGTGGAGTTGAGGCCACAGATCAGTGGACCCTTAGCAGAGGTGGCAGCTGAAATGCCTAAAGAACACTTGAATGAGTACAACCTTTTAAAGAAAAAGGCCAGAATTAGAATGGGGCTAACACCTGAGCATACCTGTCGGCGGTTCAGAGCCCGAAGGTGGAAACCAGAAGTAACATTTTCCTGACACGCCTACCACATTGTCAAAAATTGGGATGCCTGGAAATCAGAAGCAAGTGTTAAATCTCTGGAAGATCTGTCTCTCCTAGTGTAAATGGAGCAGTTCTTAGAGGGTGTTCTTGAGGAAATAGAAAGGTACCTCCTAGATGGGAAGCCCAAAACTGTAATCGAAGCGGGGGAGATTGGAACCAAATGGGTGGAGGTGGTGGAAAAAAAGAAAGCTAGTAGCAGTTGGAGCAATTATCAGAAGGGACACCCCTAGACCACACCCTACCACTGGGGCCAGCCCAAAGCCCCACCTACTCCCCAAGGAAAACACCAGACACCTAATCGTCCCACCATACCATTCTCCAGCAACCCACCTCACCTCAGTGACCAGTCAGCTGGGCGATGTTTTAAATGTAATGATCTGGGGCATGTAAAGGCCAACTGTCCGAAGAACCCCAACACATTACAGTTCATGGCACTAGGGTCACACCAAAGGTCCTCAGGCCCAGATGCCTCCCAGATACCCTCAGAGGGAAGGGAAACTGTGAGAGTGGGTGGGAAGAAGGTTATTGTGTGGAGGGACACTGGAGCACAGGTGTCAGCTATCCACCAATCCTTAGTGGACCCCAAATTCATCAACCCAGAGGCCCAAGTGACAATTCAACCCTTCAAGTCAAACTCTACATCGCTTCCAGAGGGACCAAGCCCAAGTCCACAATCCAGTGAGGAACTGACGTCTCCAGCATCGAGGGAACAGTTCCAGGCCAAGAA